CTGTCTGTCTGGCGAGCGCACGCACCCTACAGTGAAAATCTCTCCAAAAAAAAAAAAAAGTAAGAATTAGGATGGGAGCCTGGGTATCTTTTTTTTTTTAATTATTTGTTACTATTTTTTAAAAATTATTTTATTTGTTCATTCTTTTTTTTTTTTTTTTAAATTTACCGAAGGGACAGGGGGAGGGAGGAGTGAGAAAGCAAGCCACCAGATTCAGGACTCGAACCCTAGTCAGCCATGTGGGAGTGTCCAGTGCCATAACCACCACACCACCTGCTGGTCCCATTTATTACTATTTTTTTTAAGGACGATTTTATTTAACTTTATTGATTTATTTACTCATTTTAATTTGACTGGAGAGGGACACGGTGAGAGAGAGAGAGAGCAAGCAGCCAGGTCCAGGACTTGAACCCCAGTTGGCCATGTGGGAGTCCAGCGCTCTTAACACCACGCCACCTGCTGGCCCCATTATTATTTTTTTTTTAACTTGAGAGTGATAGTGAAAGTGAGAAAGCCAACTGCTGGGCCTGGGACTTGAACCGCGCAAAAGCCAACTGCTGGGCCTGGGACTTGAACCGTCCACGTCCATGTGGGAGTCCAGTGCCTTCACCAGCATCACGCTACTTGGTCTGGGAGCCTGGATTTTTCTGACCCTAGAGTTTGTACTTTTCAGTCACGAGACCAGTCATCAAGCCATTCATGTTTGTTCAGCCTGCATGTATTGCTTACCCCGGGGGTGAGGCCCTAGAACTGCTGTACGGATCTGAATCTGAGCTGTGGTGGGTGAGAGGTTGGCACAGGGGCCCAGAAGTGATGGGACTGCGCCATTAGGAGCTTCCTAATGCTGGGTCTGCCTTTTCCCAGCATCCTTTGCTGTCTCTCAAGGCTCCTTCCAGCCAGGACTCCTGCGTCTGCTGCTGCTTCTATGGAGACTTCTGCTCTTGCCGTCTGTCCTCTGCCTGACTGCCCCCCAATACCGTAGTGGCTACATCTGTTAGCTCTGTGAGCCAGCCAGTGCCATGTGCCCTGGGGGTGCTTTTTCCTTCTCTCTTTTTCTTTCTAGCTCTCTCCTGGCAAGTGCCCACTTGGCACACACACAGAGAAAAATGTAAAAGTCATTCTTAGCTCACGGGTCAAACACAGACAGGTGGTAGGGGCTGGATTTAGCCTGTGGGCTTTAGTTTACTGCTTGGTGTTCTAGAGCATGGAGCTCTGGCAGAAAGCAATGTCTCTTTCCCAGTAGCTGGGGCCAAAGTCCCAGGGAAGATTCTCATTGGACAGACTTGGATCACATGCTACTCTGTGAGCCAATCAGAGGCTGTGGGCTCGGTGCTCTCAGGAGCTTGGTCAGTGGGAGCCATGGCCTGAGTGCCGCAGGTGAGAGAGCAGAAGAGACCAGGGGAAAAGCCACGTTGTCACAGCAAGGTGGGGTTAATGAGTGCATCGTGGACAGAACCGTAGAAACCCATAGCTGCAGTGACAGTGGGGATGTTAGCTGTGCCTTAAACGTGTTTTCTGATCTCCAGGTGACAACATACGGGAGTTCTTACTGAGCCTCAGATACTTCCGAATCTTCATTGCCCTCTGGAACGTCTTCATGATGTTCTGCATGATCGTGTAAGTCAGGCTTGCCCGCCTTGCCCCCTTCAGCGTCATCCCTGTACCATTCTCCAGAATGACCTACCAACAGTCCTTCTCTGTCCTTCCTTTTTCTTTTTTTACATTATTTTATTTAACTTTATTTATTTATTTTAATTTGACCAGAGAGGGACAGTGTGAAGGGGACGGGAATGAGAAAGCAAGCTGCTAAGTCTGGGACTCAAACCATGGTTGGCCATGTGGCAGTCTAGCGCCCTTAACTACCACGCCCTGTTCTCTGTCCTGTCAGTCTGCACTTTTTTTTTTTAGTTTTTTTTTTTTTTTTTTTTGGGGGGGTTTTTTAAAAAATGCTATAGGGTGTGTGCGCTCGCCAGACAGACAGAGAGAGACAGAGAGACAGAAAGCGAGAAATCACCCCCCAGGGGGGATGGCCACACCGCAATCCCTTCTCCTCCATTCTCCTCTCGGGATCTTGGGCACGCACACCGGGTCCGGGACATGAACCGCAGTTGACTACATGGGAGTCCAGCGACATAGCCATTATGCCAACTGCTGGCTCCCTCCCTCCCTTCTTGATTTTGGGCACACAGTACGCATGTCTGGTGTGTTTCTCAAGCCACTGGGTCCGGAACTCTTAATTGCGCAGTTGGCCGTGTGAAATCCAGCTACCTAACCACCATTGCCAGAGGCTGGCCCTTTGCCCATTTCTTCATTGTGTGATTACTTAAGTTGTAAAGGTTTTTTGTTTATTTTGGATGCCAGTCATTTATCAGATGTATGCTTTTTATTATTATTTGTTTTTAATTTAGAGGTTTTTGCCATAGGGCACGTGTGCTCGCCAGACAGAGAGAGACAGACAGAAAGCAAGAAATCATCCCCCGGGGGGATGGCCACGCCGCAATCCCTTCTCCTCCATTCTCCTCTCGGGATCTTGGGCACACACGCACACGCGCCCGGCGTGAGT